GACCGAAGTCCGAAAACTGTATCGAATCGAAGTCCAGAACTGACTGCGACCTTGTTCCCTGCATCGGACTAAAGTCCGAAACTAGATGCATCGGACCGAAGTCCGGAACTGACTGAACATAGCATAGCATAATCATAACTACTAGCATAAACACATATACTGCATACTGCATTGGACCGAAGTCCGGAACACATAACACAAAGACATGCTTGAATCATAAAGACATCAAGCACACCACACTGAACTACTGCATCGGACCGAAGTCCGGAACTACTGCTAATTAAACGGGCCGGCATTGTGGTTGTAGACCCGTTCCTACTGGAAGGAAAACTCACCTCGTAATGTTGGTTGCTGAGATACTGACTCTAAAACTGGCTGACTGCTGCTCCGGAACTCCCCGACTACAAATCCCAACAAGACTAGATCAGGTACTGATAAATGCCTTTAGGGTAAAATGACTATTTTACCCCTAGTCAAAGTCAACTCTCAGGTCAAAGTCAACTTTCAGTTGACCGGACTCGCTAAGTCAAGGCGTAGACTCGCCGAGTCCCTCCATCACTAGATCTGACTCTAACTCACCGAGTCCCTTCCCCACTCACTAATTCACCCTAAACTCTCAAATCGGGGAAAAACGAGGACTCGCGACTTGACTCGTCGAGTCCTAAGCATGTCATTACTATACAGTCGATTTTGCTTGATTCCAATGCATCTAATACATAGATCTGGGTTCCTAGGACTGATTTCACACGTAAAGTTTCTAACTTTACATTCATGCATGCACATAAGAAGCTAAAATGCCCAATAAGAAGCTAAAAGAGGAGATCTAGGTTTGGAATGGGTGTTTAGCTTAATAAAGGTGGCAACCTTGAGCTCAAGGAGTCCATAAATGCTTAGATCTGAAACCCATTCATCTTAACTTCCTATAAAACAACCTCAATGTTTAGAAAATGGCAAAAGAAGCAACACTAGCAAGCTTTTAAGAAGATCTATATGATGACAAGCCAAAATTCGAGCTTTATACCTTAATGGAGGCTGGAATTATGACACAAGAACTCAGATCTCCTTTGCTCCTCTTGAGAACATCTCTTCTTTCTTCTTCTTCTAACTTCAAAATGCACCAAAAATCCTTCACAAGATGAGAAATACACCAAAAAGCTTAAAGGGAGGCTAGGGTTTGGTAAAGGATGCTCTAAGAGTGATGGAGGATGGTTTGGGGCGCATAAATGTGTTTAAATAGGGTGCAAACCCTTGAAACTAGGGCTTCATCCAGACAGGCAGACTCGCCGAGTCCCAACATATGGACTCGCCGAATAGCCAACCTAAATCGCGTGAACATCCCGTCTCTACTCGACGAGTCGGGCTATAAACTCGTCGAGTACCCCTTAAGAAATGAAAATACTTATTTAAATTACATACCAGAAATGGGGCGTTACAATTATAAGTGCGAATCCATTGTTTCTTCTGATGAAGTTTCTGACTCATACAGAATTGGACATCAAAAAATCGAAGAATACATTAAGTCCAAAGACCATAAGAATATGCTGAAACAAATGTTGAATGATAAGGATAAAGAACAAATCAAATCTGATACTATGCAAAAATTTGACTCATTATGCAATAAATTAAATTCAGAAAATACTTTTGATACCAAAAACGTTTCTGAATTTGATGAAAGCCATATGAGTGAAATTTTTGTATAGGATGAAATAGATTGTTCTACTTTTGTTCAAAATACCGATGAGCCTAAGAAAAATTTGATTTCTGAAAATTCCATCGAATTCATTCGTATTGTTGAAAATAAAGGCTCTAAAGTTTTAAATGAAAAGGCCATGGTTTTTCCGAAAGTGCAAACAGTTCTGAATCAAGTTTTTATAAAAACTGGACTGAACAAAAATGATACTATTGAACCAACATCCCTTGTAAATAATGATAATGTTGATGGTTGTGATGAATAATTCTGGTTCGGGCCAGTAGACAACGCAGACGAAACAAAAGGTCTTTCTGAAATGACCTCCAGGAAAACAAAAGGGGAGTACGTTTCGGAACCACTGAATCGTGTAAACCTTTATTACGATCAAGGAGGGCCAAGTGGCACGAAGGATGTTCCCAGTGAAACCTCTTTTGAACAACACGAAACGCCAGTCAGAAAAGAGAAACCTAAATTTATCATTCATAAGTTAGCTGAAGAGCTTATTGCTAAGAAAAGACAATTAAATGCTAGATATAGGAAAAACTTACAAGAAAGAAAGAGTTTTTGGAAAAATAAGAATTCCAATCAAAATTCTGTTAATTCATAAAGATTTTCAAGTCAAAATACGAATTCTTCTCCAATTCAAAAACCAAAATCAAAACGTTTTTCCAAACCAAATGTTTTAAAACCACAAGTTTCTAAACCAATTGAAAAGCCGAAATCCAATGGTCCTCCGAAAACACAGTCTTCAAAATCTGTCAACACATCAAAAGATGTTAAGGGCAAAAGTAAAGTTGTTTCGGAACCGGAGATTTATCTCAAGGAATACAAGGCAAACTTGAAAAGGGAGGAAAATGCATTCGCGAAAAGGATGGCTAAGAAACACAAAGAATTTAATCAACAAAAAATAAAATGTTGTTGAAATTAATCTTTGTGATAATAAAATGGAAGTTTTCAAAATAATAAAAGAGAAGAATAGTGTTTTGATAAAAAGATCCTTTTGGGTTGATAAGACTAAGATTTTTCCTGTTCTCAAGAAATGCTCACAAGTCACAAGGACCCAAGATGGTTTGGGTTCCTAAATCTCTCTAAATTTTGTAGGTAATGCGTGACGAACAGTATGATTCATAATGGTATATCGACAACGGATGTGCATGTCACATGACTGGAAGGAGAAAAGAACTAAGATAATTCATATCGTTAAAGGATGGCAGTCGAGTAAAGTTTGGAAATAACGCTACCGGGGAAATCAAAGGATATGGAATGATCACAAATGGCGAATTCTCCATTCGGAAAGTAGCTTACGTAGAAGGCCTACAACATAATCAAAGTTGCGTTTATTGGTGTCAACGTTGAGGTCAATATTAGTTTGTTCGTCAAAAACGTCTAAGGAACTCGAATTGCAGGACCTCTTTGATTGTACCTCCAACGATGTTGGAGTTTTAATCCATTTTTGATCTTTCTCACAATCTCTCATATTTTTTCATACTTGAAAACATGACCCATTTCGATGCAATATTGCTCTCTCGTTGCTTTGAACAAACCGAAATCGTTGGCACCACTTTGTTTTTGCGAAACAAGCTTGTTGTTGATCCTATTAAATATGGTGCACCTACGACTAATTGGAGTTCACTTACTATGTGAAATCTTTCGAGCACGCTTTCCCAAAAATCAATTTTCCTCATATCATTTCCTATAAGTTCATTTTTTGAAGTACCGCACCATGCAACTATCAAAGCGTACTCCCCATCCAGTGTCCACCATAGTTGAGGTTCTTCACTTTCCGCGATCGCTTTTCCTTTCCTTTTCCATTTCCCTCTGCTCCACCATAGTTGAGGTTCTTCACTTTCCGCGATCGCTTTTCGTTTCCTTTTCCATTTCCCTCTGCCTCTCCTACTACCTCCTGGTTGCTTTCAGCAACCGTATCTTGCGATGGTTGTGTGGGTGGTTGTTGGGTGGTTGTTTGAGTCATGAAAGAAAAAGTATTGAAAAGGTTTTTTTTTGTAGGTTTGGGTTTTGTTGCATGTAAGGTGATGTAGGAAATTGCATTTGGGGTAAGGTGAGATTAAAATAGTTTCCTTGAAATCGTATTTGTTGTGAGTTTTGAGTGTTGAGGAGGTTCATGTAGCTCTCATGTTAAGTGAACCTCATCAGAGTAGTTGTGTTTATGTTTAGTGGATGGGTGTTCAAGTTTTGCTCCCTAAATTTTGTTGAAAATTAGATTGATTTTTGTAAATAAATGGGAGAAAGAAAAGAGTGATGTAGGAAAAATATTGTGCATATATATGTGTGTATTTATATATAAAGAGTAATAAGTAAAAAAAAAATCTTTTAACCGTTCGAAAACAGTAGTTTTGACCATTCCAATTTTTAATATAGCACATTACAACTCATTTTAGTGGCAACAGGATAACTTAACGGGTGAGGCTTGGCTTTGTGTCGTTGAATTGTGGCCACATTAGCCTTAACACCCCACAACAGGTTCATACCTTGCAGTCTTAGTATTTTTTTCCTTAAAACAACTCAATTTTAACGGCTTTAATTTAACAACTCTAATTTTCTAAAAACAACTTCAATTTTTCGGGGAAAAAAACAGTTTCCGTTTATGAGAAACAACATTGGTTTATTAAAAACAACTTCGATTTTCTAAAATCAGCTTCAAAAAAAAAAAAAAAAAAAAAAAACTTTTGTTCACTTGAAAACAACTTTAGTTTACTAGAAAATAGCTTTAGTTTATCGGAAAACAACTTTGTTTTCTAGAAAACACAATTTTTAATGGTTTAGAACCTAATTTCGATCCCTGATGATTTTGGTTCTGATTTTTTGAAAAACTTAAAACATGGAGGTTGTAGATCATTATATTAGATTTTTATAGAAGTTTGCATCAGTTCATTCCGATAACATGAGTTTTATATGATTTTTATAAGACAATGTATTGTTTTTAAAAGTAATGTAGTGGCTTTGGTTATGTCGAAACCAGAAAATAATGAATCATTGACATGAATCAATAAATTAATAGAACTGTCATATGTTTTGTAAATATATGAGATTTTCTTATGGTCACGTGTTTTGAATGCATACTTGTTTTGAAGAATGCCCTTTTATGTTCCATTTGTCATAAAATGTGTAATAGTCAGGCATCTGTTAACATGAATTTTTGATTTAAAAATAAGATTAGAATGTAACATTAACAAGTTAATCAAGCTCCAACTTGCCTATTTCATCATTGATTAGCCCTAAAATAACTCTTAATAAGATTAGAGTTTGAAAACCTTGTATGCCAAGATATGAAATCAATTTGTAATAAAAATTGTTAATAACTAAAAAAGTAAACTAAGATAGAATTGTACTTTTAAATTCACCTCATTTATATACGTACATGATACACCACAACTACTTACACCATTTATTCAACAAATCATGCATACACAACAAACTTATCATAAAACAAAATACAAAAACAAGATATTAATTATAACATCAAACAATATTACACTCGGTTGAATTTCCATCATCTAAGGAGGCATCAGCATCAGAAAACCCCATGACATAACCATCACCTTCATCTTCTTCCTCATCATCACTTCCAAGTTCATCTCTATTTCGTCTTCTTTCTATGTAAGCCAATGCTTGCCTTCTATGAAGCCGCAAAACATGCATTATCACATCGGGCGTCAGTGTAACCCGTGAATGATCTTCCCTCCCTCGCCTGTTTGACTCCACAATCTATACAATCCATAAAAAAATAACCACAAACATTAAATGAACACACTATACTCCATTTGGCATCTGACATAATCTAAGTCAGACTGTCTGACTAGTCTAGTCTGAGTCAGACTGTCTGAGACAGTCAATAAGACGGTCTACTAATCCGAGTCAGACAGTCTACTAACTCAGACAAAGTCAAACAGTCAGTCAGACAATCTGAGTCAAACAGTCAGACAATCTGAGTCAAACAGTCTAACAATCTAAGTCAGACAGTCTACTAACTCAGAAAAAGTCAAACAATCAATCAAACAGTCTACTAACTCAGACAATTTGAATCAAACAGTCAGACAATCTAAGTCAAACAGTCTAACAGTTTGAGATAGACAGTCTACTAACTCAGACAATCTAAGTCAAACAATCAGATTGACAGTCTACTAACTCAGACAGTCAGACAGTCTACTAACTCAGTCTGAGTCAGACAGAGTCAGATGGTCTGATAGTCTGAGTCAAACATTCTACTAACTCAGAGGGTCTACTAATTAAGACAGTTTGCGTCAGAGAGTCTACTAACTCAGACAATTTGTCAGACAGTCCGACTCAAACAATGTTTTGTGTTTGGCATGCATCGGACTGAGACTGTAGTCGGTTTGACTCAAAAAAGGTTTTAAAAGATCATACCTCTTGTAAATCATGAGGAAGGGGAAGAATGTCATCAGAAACAGGAACCCAAAGCTTTATATTCTTTTCCAAACCAGATGAAGCAAGAACAGGGATACTAGGATGAGGCTCAACTTGATTCACTATACGCCTATCACCTTCCATTACCCTAACAAGTCTACCTCCTTTTTTCTTCCAAATAAAAATATGCCCACAATCCGATCCACTCATAACATACTCACAATTCGGCCCAAAAAAACTAACCCCTTTAACTGTCAATGAATTCCTATGTCCACAATACACTTGTGGATCATCCAAATCATCCGAATTCATCACATTCAAGGGATTTGGTCCTAAACCCCCGTTGTTTTTTGGAAAAAGATAAATGAGTTCATCATTGTAGGAGATAAGAAGCTCACTTGTGTTGGAATATGACATTCCAGTGATGTGGACATCGTGTGTTTCTGTAAGATGTTTTGGGCAAAACGTGTTGACTGGTTGGTCAAAGTTTCTGATGTCGTATAGACGTGCGTATTTATCTGAACCTCCTATGGAGAAAAAATTAGGGTTTCTTGGGTCGATTATGATTGAGTTTAATCTTATGGTGTTTGAGGAAGAGTGGCTGTGGTTGAGTTCTGTGAATGGGGTGCAACAGAAAAGCTTTGTGGAGGAATTACTTCGCAAATCAAACTACAAAATATTTGTAAAACAAATTATACTTTTGGAATGTAAGGGTAAAATGGTAATTATAAAACTTACATGCTGAACTAATCCATCTTCACCACAGCTGTAAAATATGTGGGGACTTCCAGGCTCAACTGCAAGCTTGTGAACTCGTCCATGGTGTTTACCTAATTTTTTCGTTTGGACATGTCCATTCTCTGCTATTTGACCAAGTCTTACCTGAAAATATAAGTTATGTTTTGAAATTTGAATGAATGTATATATTTGAAACTAAGTGATAAACTAAGTAAGTTTCATAAACATTATAATGTAAAGGACATAATCTATGAAACAAGTAACCTGTCCATCAGCAGCAGAAGTAACTATGGTTCTGTCATCAGTGAAAGGCATGATTCTAGCTTGAAATATGTTGTCTACATGACCAGAAGCATATGAAAGGACTAAGGATTTAGTTGCTACATTCCAGAACATAACTCGTCTGTCATCAGAACCTGACACAAGGTGGTCACCACAATGGTTGAACTCTATTGTGTTTACACAACCTTCATGCCCATTTAGTTTACCAGCAAGATCAATTCTCTTTACAAGAGCCTGCAACAATAATCATAATCTAAGGTTAATTCAAGGACATAGAAGACTCATGTGGTCATAAAGTGAATATCTTGTAATTGTTGGTTGATGATTTGATTCGATGGTGGAATCATAACTTAGGTTAAAATGGGGGAAGCAGATTAACGTATACTTTAACCATCTATCAGTTAAATCGATTAGAATGGTTGCTTATGATGTAATCAATAGTTTTGATTTGCGAACAGACTTTCGATCCTTCATCAAAATAAGAATCTAGCATTACATCAATACTTAACTCGCAAAGTAAATAGAACGTACAATCAATTTAAAATTTGTAAAACTTGAGCTGAAATAGACTGTAAATACAATTTGAAGATAAAACTCCTAACCAATTTCATGATTTCGATATAAAACTCCCCATTAATTTCACAATCGTAAATATATATCTGGGGGAAAACGAACCTCGGAAGCAGAGATTCGGCGACAGAAGTTTCTGGGAGGATTGAAACCGATTTCTCTCTTAAAAACCTCCAGAATCTCATGTTGCGAAGGATCCCTATTCCTATCATATACGCTACTCTCCATTATAGCTTCAGTTGCGCAACAGATGATGGTGTGATGATAACCGATCGATAATCGAGGTTTCTTGAGGTTTTTCTACAGTGGCTAATTCCTGCGCAACAGTTAGAGTAAATGGCATCTCGTGATGCATCCCCTTTCCGATTCACCCCTCGTGTTCTCAAGATCTCTAGTCTCTAGGAATTAAACTCCTGTGTGTATAAAATTCCATATACGTCTCCATCATGTTATGTGTGTAAAGTTCATTTGATGCTGATTTTTTTAAATTATCGTGTATAAGCACCATCTAATGTCAAATTTAAATCAACTCCGGTTAATTGGGACCTTTTTTTAGAGGTTAATGACCTAATTTTGATTTTTATCTATATTTATATAATAATAGTTTTTCCGTATATGTTTGATATGACTAAAATAGGGCAATATTATTAGTAATCATCGGTAACATTACTGAATTACGTCAAACAAGTTTACTAATCAAACATATATAACGAAAAAAAACGGTTACCTAAATATGAACAAAAATCAAAGTTCGTTAACCATTTTTCTAATATTATGTTCTTTATCTTAAATGCAAATAGTCATATAACTCACTGATGTGACATTGAATTGGGTCTTGGTGTCGAATTTGGATCAGATATCTAAAATATGGGTGGTAACACCGCCTAACAAATAACAACATTGCATGGTCGCACACTGGCATATCTAGTCCCTTACTAGCTCGGGTGAACTGGGTTGGCTCAGTGCCTAACCTAATTGTCCATTAACCTAGCTCTATAGATAGAACATCTCATCCTCCATGGAGGATCTCTCATTCTCAAACATGAGCCTCCATTGTATGCATACTCTTCCCACAAAGATGGATCTCTCCATCCAAGAGAAACCATCTCTTCACACACGTCGATCTTACTTGATCGTCAGAGCTTATTTCTAGGCATAGTCTCTGGTGCAATTTTAGCAGTTTTGTTCTTTAATGACAGCTAGGAATCAAATCCAGAACTCATTAACAGCACCTACTCCAAATTTGCGATTTGTATCTGACACCAAGACTCAATTTCATGTCACATCAATAGGTCTTATACCTATTTGCACTTAGCATAACGAACCTAATATTATCAAAATGGGTAACGAACTTTGGTTTGTATCCTTATTTAGGTATTTTGTACACATGACCAATAAACTTATTTGACTTTTTTGACTTATTTATAACATAGTAATATCACCGATAATTGCCAATAATATTATCTTATTTTGAACAGATCAAACAAGCTTACTTATCAAATGTGTATGAAAAAACATAATTACCTAAATATAGACAAAAACCAAAGTTTGTTACCCTCATAGATCATTAACCCTTTTTTAATCAATCTTCAACACACTAAGTGAATATTTCAATCTCATGTGGAAATCTCTATATACAAATTGTTGATATTTGGCATAAAGTTCCATCATTCAAGCATCAAGCCTAAAGTTTTTGTTATAGATGTTTTTGGTATTTTGACATTTAATATAGATAATACGACAAGTTTGACAATCATATACATTAAAGTCATTAGAACTAGAAACGTTTTGAGTATAAAACTTGGTATTTCATTAAAATATTAGACATGCACCAACACACATGTTAAAAAAATATATAAACATTGAGAGACTATTCCCTTTTTTTCGTATCAAGTTATGCACAAGTAAAATGACAAACAAATAATTATATTTTACTTTAAAAAATATTAATATTATTAATATTCATCAATTTTGACATCTGGTTGTAATATAAAGGAAGAAATACAACAAAGAGTTAAAGATATATTAAGCCGAATTTTTTGGGTTTAATTCATTAAATCATATTGTCCAAAATAAGTCAAAAAAGAAACAACCATATATATTGTTGTCCACATTAAGTGGTTACTCGTTAAGTCAAAAAGAAACAACTCATTAGACTAAGAGTAGTAATTTGTGTAAATTTTGTTCATTATACTACTGAGTAAACACCATAATAGAAAAATGTATAGATTGCAAATCTACAGAATACGCGAATCTGATAATATGATATAACATCCCCTCTTTACAGCACCTACATTGTAATATAAACCATATTTGTGCAAGCAGGGTTTCTACAATGCTATGTTAACTGAAAAGCTGCACATGGGTAAAATAAAAAGTAAAAATAAAAACATATCTAACTACCCAAAAATTCTGTGTTTTAAGGTTGTTGTTACCCTTTTTACGCCTGTGTGGGTGGGTAAAAAAAAAAGACTCTGATTTTGGGAAAACGTGTACTTGTTCCCCAGAAAAGGTGAGGAGAAAACTGTCATTTTACTAGGACTAGTACTAATCTTCATCATCAGCTAATACAGCAGCAAATGAGAAAGGTTTGAATTTATAACCATCGCCTTGATAGAACTTGTTTTGAAATTCCACCCAGTGTAGCCTCAATGCATGAAGGAAAGCACTTAGTGTCTCCATCATTAACAGTATAAATGCAGTTGCAAAAGCAAACACCGCTAGCCCCACCATTCGGATTATAAAATTATCATACCTAAAAATCCATATTTAATTAATTCTTAATCAATGACTAAATCCAAAATTTTGGTCCTCATTTGGGTATAACTGATTTGTGCAATTTTGGTCCTCATTTGAGGTTCTTGTAACATTTTTAGTTCATGTTCCAGTACAATGATTATTTTAAGTCCTCGGGTATGGCTATTTTTGCAGCTTTTGTCCAAAAATAGTCTTTTCACTTGGAACGAGGGCCAAAAACGCTACGAAAACCTCAAATAAGGACCAACTTTGTAACACCAAAATTGAAATTTTCAGTTAAACTCAAGGGACCAAAAATGTAATTCACTCATTCCAGAGCAAATTACATTTTTGGGTCCCTGGTTGTATCCGTATTTGCAGTTTTTGGTCCCAAAAAGTTTTCACTTGCAATCTTGGTCCTTATTTGAGGTTTTTATAACATTTTTGGTCCTGGAGTATAACTGATTTTCGCAATTTTGGAGCAAAAAAGTCATTTTATTTAGTACAAGAACCAAAAATGTAAAAAACCAGCAGGGATCAGAAATATAATTACATATTTGGTCCCTGGGTATAGCGAATTTGGCAACTTTGCTCGAAAAGAAATTTCTCTTGCAATTTTGGTCCTTGTAAATATTTTTGGTCCATGCTTCAAGTAAAACAATTATTATAGTCCTCTGAGCATGGCTGATTTCTTGCAAATTTGGTCCAAAAATATAGTCAATTTACTTTGAACAGGAACAAAAATGTTACAAATAAGGACCAAAATTTGCAAGAGAAACTTTGTAGGACCAAAACTGAAAAAATCAGGGACCAAAAATGTAATTTACTCAAAATTTCAAAAAGGGTTCTAGAAAGAATCGGCTTACCCCCAAGCAAGGAGGAGAACTTTCTCATAGAATACAGTGGATAATTCTGAGTGAGCTAAGCTGTAATGAAAAAAAAAACATAAAGTATAAGCTAAAATACAGTAAAGAATAAATAAAATTATAATGAATGTGAATGGTGTGTACCTTAAAGCCCATAATCGAAGGTATGAAGCAGTATTGGAAACAGAACCAAGTACAAATTCAATGGAATGTATCATTTGATGTACAAAAACTTCACTAAAATTGAATTCCTCTTCGTGGCGTTGTCTTGCAGAACCAGGTTCGGAATCGGTGTCTCCCTCGGATGATCTAAGAATCCCGTATGCACGACCTTGGAATCGCTAAAATACAAAATAAAATACAAATAAGAATATATGGAAATAGAAATAGTATTTGAAGTTTTAATAAAGTGTTTTGGGTATGGGTAGTACCTCAGCATGAAGTCTCTTTAGAATGAAAGGTTTGGGGAAAAGCATCCATGGAACAGCAACAAGAGCTGAAAACAACAATAGGATCTGCAAAATGAACGGAATTTAATCATAAAAATCAAACCAAACACACCCTGGCCTTATATTCTACGGAATCAAAGATAGAGAGAGAAACAATAAATAGATGATACCTGAAGAGGCCTTTGTCCCCAAAACAACTCATTTTCACCAAGATCATCAAAGGGACTCAAGAACATATAAATCATGACATGATAAAGATCCGCTTGAGAACCCGTGCACCATTTTATGATAATCAGAAGTGAAAGATACCCAAAAAGGCTGTTTAAAAATATCATCTGTGGGATAAACTGGTACCTGAAAATAAGGTCCACAAATTAATTCATCTATAAACATTTTAAGTAAAATATAAGTATGAAACATACAGTATATACCTTATATCCAATGAATTGTTGAAGAAAATCGAATTGAAATAACTCAACATGATTCCAAGATTCATCTGAGCAATTCCAAGCAAAATAGACATTTTCATTTTGAGAGAGTTTAAAAAGGGTAACTCTGAACGACTCCCACGCCAGCTAGGATCCACACCAAATGGATATGCATCGCGATATTTGATTAAACCAACTGTATATGCATCGCTGTTGATGGAAAGTGGAAACAGAAAAATGATTGTTTAGTGCCAGCTGGCAAAAGTTTTTTTTTTTTTAAAGAAAATCAAATAATAAAAATACCTGCATGAGGGGTCACGGCATCTATATGCGGATGCACCAAATATATGATAAGGAACAGAAAAGAATTCGTTGTAAATTAGACCACAGTAGATGGAAAAAATTGACATTAAGAGAAGTACATAACGACCACCAAATAACATCTCCATGAAGCTCCCAAGTTTCTGCCAGAAATATATATAATGTTAATAAGAGTAGTGTGAATTTATTTATAAGAAAATAAAATCAGGATTTTCTTTTTTAGAGACTGTGTTGCACCTGAGTACTAAGCTTTCCTTCACGTGCTATGAGAACTAATGCACCTATCAATAAGCATATTCCATGTCCCCAATCCCCAAACATGACAGCAAAAAGAAATGGAAAAGTAATTACAGTATAAACTGCTGGATTTGCTTCTTGGTATTTAGCAACACTGCAATCAATAGAATTTCGATATCATTAACTTAATTAATATTGTAATTATAAAATGTTTAGGTTGGATGGAATGGAATGAGTCATTACATTCCTTTTCCAATTCCCTCGTGCCAAACACTACTATCATAGTGTTTAGTTCATATTTCCTAGAAAGGAAATATGATTTATAAAATACTTAAATATAATATATATATATATATATATATTGCTTACCCATAGGCATCAACAATTTCTTGATATGCATTTGTAAAACTGTTAGTTCTGAAATATGTTGGAGGTGACTCCACAGCATCCATTACATGAAATATGATGCCCACTTGTGAGTTGCTATCAAATGTTGCACGTTGCAGTGCCTCCTGAATCTAATACAATACAACAAAATGGAAGCATTAAATAAGTTTGAAAAAGGAAAATTTAATATATATCTAAATGGTTATCATTCATAATTCATACATGCTCAAGTAATAAACTTAAAGCAAAGTAAGTACCTGGGGTTTAGCAAATATCGGGCACCATCCCTCTCCAACTAGACACTTTTTTGTAACATCAAAGTTTAACATGTTCAAAGTATCAAACACAGCTTTCTCTCTTTTAACCTAGAATGTTATCACATAAAATATACAACACAGTATTTAGAAAAACAGAAATAACATCATTCTCAATGTATGATAATTTTAATACATGAAGCCACAAATAAGCACACCTTACCATGTTCATCCATACTATTAAGCGAAACCCAATGGAATGAAGAGCAGCATTCCTGTGTCGAATTCCAACATCTAAAGTGGTTTCCAACTCAGAAAGCCTTGATAGAACCTGTAATAGGATAAGTTCAGAAAACAATTTTGAACTCCTTTAAAGAAAATTTAAAAAAAAAAAAAAAAAAAATGAAATTATTTAAACTAAGGTAATATACTAATAGTCTAATACCCATTTTGATTTGAAGACACACCTCTTGGGTTATTTGAGTCTGCTTTGTTATGTCCTCTGGAACGGGGTAGCAACTTGCACCAAATGCTTCACAGATTTTGAGGATTTTTGTCTTTGCCTGCTCTCCAGAAAAGAAAACTACAAATACAGTTTTCTCAACCTGCAAAGAAGCTTATAAAGTAAATTCATTGAATTTTAAAAAAATAATAATAATGAATGGAAATTATGAGGGCATCTTAACAAACCATTTCAGATGTTACAGGATCCATGATGAGGTCATCTGCAGTTGCTTGATTGAAAAGCAAATTTCCCCTTGTTGCACGAAACAACATTCTCTCGAATAATAAAACCTTGGATTTTGGGATAATGCCACTTATAAATCTAAGACCTGATAAGTTTGAGGCTCCTGATTGTGTTGCCTGTGTGGAATTTTACAAGTTTTTTAGTTTTTTAATAATATAAAAGGGAGTGTTAAAAAAAGGAAAAACATGCCAAGTTTTTACCTGTTCAAGTAATGAGACTGAATCTGGATAGTCACTGGCATATACATTTTCTTCTAGTTCTCTGCCATCTGCAGTTTCATAACTTTTACCTGAGAGAAGGAAATCTCCTGCCTGAACAAATCATGATGGTATTCAGAATTATGATTTTAGGAATTAGGATATGCTAAATATTCTACTAATCAGAAATCTAGAATAGAAAATTTGAGTTAATTACAAGAATAGTCCCTGTGCTTCCTGGCTTTTACCATTTTAGTCGCAAAATTGAAACCTTTTTCAACTTGGGTCCTTATTTCAAGGTTTCATATCTATTTTGGTACCTAGGACTTTCTCTTTTTGGTCCTTATTTCAAGGTTCCATGGACCAAAATCGAAATGAAACGTTAAAATAAGGACCAAAATTGGAAAAAGTTTCAATTTTGGACTACACACGGAAAAATTCAGAAATCGCAGAGACCATTTTTGTAATTTACTCTCGAAAAATAATTACAAATTAAAGATGTTGATCGAGTGTGAATAATTTATGTTGATGAGCATGATGGCCACATGTACTAGATACCATTTACCACAATGTCGGAAGCTTTTGTAAACTTAAAATGGTCAAAAAAGAAGGTAAAAGGGATACTTTATAAGATGTACCTTTATTCCACATCTAACAACAAATGAGATTAAGATGAGATAAAACAAGAACAAAAACATACTATAGCCATTTATATGACATTTTCTATCACAAAAAAGTGAGAAACAAACATTTATGTGCAACTCACCTTCTGCAGCACCATTTTGAACTCCAGCAGCTCATTATATGTCTGTTGTAGTTTCTCACTGTTGGCATTCATCTCAATAAGTTCATGTTCATGTTCAGCAAGTTGTATCTGTGATAAAAAATGAAAATATAATAATAAGTTCATGTTTATACTAAAAGCCAGGCTAGATAAGAGTTTCTTTTGTTTTTTTTTAGTTGGTGACTGGTGAGTAAAACAAGGAGATAAGTACAGACCTCCAATGCCTCCAAGTCCACATCTGGTTGCATTGTTGGAAGAGCAGAAGATAGTAAACCAGCCTTGTGTATCTGATCTTTAAAGAAGCGAAGCTTTCTTGACATCTCAGCACATCTTTTTACCTATCAATCATGGCACAACAGATACAAAAGCAAACAGAAGATGATATAAATATCACCTGATTAATGAGTGATATGAGCTATGAATATGATATAACAATTACCTGATTAACAAATGTTCTTTGAAATGGGCTTTTATCTTCATTTAACTATCAATAAGAATCAAAAGCAGTAGATTAGCAACTTGCATGAAGTGTAAAAGAAAAAGAAACTAAACGAATAAAAGGACATTGATATTTGGATGTACTTTGATCTCAAGGACTTAATAAAACAAGACTTGTAAAGCCCAAGACCAAATATACAGAATTAGATGAAAAGTGAAAGAACACACTAACATTTAACAGTTACAATGAGCTTCACACAACTCCATTTCACAAGCAATAGCCATTATCTCGAGTCTCGACATTCTTAACCCACTCGTAGGGATTATTTAGACAATTTTTATTCAAAGAGTTAAAGACACAGGCCATCACCACTAACTGACATAAAGAACTTGTTTCACTAATTATGTCTTCTGCCACCCATTGTAAGCATTTCAAAGGGCATCTACATAGGAGGGGGGAACTTCTGCTTTAACAATAGTCTATGTGCAATCCACATCACTCTAGCACATCCCTCTATATCATAACAATAGTCTCAAACATTTTGTTACTCTATGCTTAAACTAATGGAAAAGGGGATGGGATCTTTAAACCTTCTAGGAGACTAGGACACCATGAGTCTATAACATATGATAATCCCAACATGCTTGCCCTACCAGTAAGGAGATGAGAATCCATAAATAAGGTCACCATGCTTGCCCTTGCTCTTGGACATTGTGATTTACCTATCATGGCGGTTTTGAGGCTAGTTGTTAGAGCGGTCACAGGTGCATTTACCTTTTTACAACCTATTACAAGGTTGGACCTGTGATGCCAAATTACCTTCAACATGCAAGTTCATAGGACCACTAGTGTAAATTTTAATAGCTACAGCTAGATTAATGTTCGAGTTACATTCATTCTTAGTTTTACACCAAATTAGCATTCGGCAACAACTAGATTTGAAACTTTAACTTGGATGGAGCATTAACTATTCAAAACAACAAACTACTACTACGAATGGGAATGGATGACAAAATCTACAGAGGATTCTCTATAATAACCAAGATCAAAACCAGAAATACGGATATCAGCAATTCAGGAACCATGAACATAAATGCAAACATACAAATATTCACATACATATATAAATAAAGTTGGATCGAAAGCATACGTCACGGAACTGGAGTAAACCGAGTTCGCCAAGATAGGATATGGCGCGGTGAGCGGATTCAACCGGAATGATTAACTGGACGAACGTCATCTTCTCCGAGCGCATCAGATCCATCTCCGGTAAATTCTTAAACAATTCCATGATTATTCCTTCCTACTACTAAAACTTTAAATCTAGCGATTGATGAATGCTAAATTTGAGATATGTAGGGCTAGATCTTCAGATCTGGCCTCTGTAAATTCATGCCGCGTGGTTTCTCTCTCTCTCGATCCAAAAATGAATCTGATACGGGAGAGTTTTATTAGTGTACAATTATATGATACTTTTAGTGTTTTGGGGCAGATGTCAACTGCCTTTGGACACTCGAAGTTGCCCCTCTAATTCCTTTATGCGCCTAAAAGTTGATTGTAGATCCGGCAAAGAAACGGTTTACTTTGGCACAAGAATGATCTTACTTACCATTAAACGATAATGTCTATTTTGGTATTATTTTTCTTAAAAAAAAAAATTACGGCAAATCTACATTACTTCTAAACCATTCTTAATTTCACTTACGGATTTGAACCTTCAACCTCAAAAATCAACACCGGATACCGTTGGGCTCGTTAAACGATAATATTTTCAAATTAAATATATATGATATTATATACATCATTATAGAATAGGATGCGATCACTTCCAAAACTGAAAAATAAAATCAAAAAATCAAAAACCAAACCAACTTATGATGATACGATATTGGTTCGATCCCCGATATATAACTGAACTAAGGTGGTTTGTGAGCCTAAATAAATAAGTATTTATAAAAAACCAACTTCAACGGCTCCTAATATAGGGTGGTGTAATTGGTTTATTTTTTAACCAATTAAAGTGGTTCTTGATCCTAAAACGTAGCTAGCTATAGATAACTAAGTTATAGAAAAAAAAAATAGTTTATTGGGAACTCATATAAAAATTGAAGGTTGTTAAAAAAAAATAGTTTATTGGGAACTCATATAAAAATTAAAGGTTGTTTAAAGTTGATTGAAATAAATAGTCCGACAACCCATGTTTAGGTATGTATGACTCGGTCAATTGTTAATCAATTAAGTTGGTTCTTTAACCTAATGTGTAGCCAAAACAGAGAGCTAAATGTTGAAAAAAAATCAACTTATTCCGACCTCGAACGAAAAGGTTATGAGGGTCGGAATATGGTCAAGTGGCCCCTCAAATTTCAGTTCTAAACCTGAAAAAAACGATAACCAAATACTCGAACCCTGCAAAAATCAAAACTGGTTTTTAGGAATATAAGGAACCGAGAACCAAACTGCTTTACATATTCGGTGTTCATATTGTTTCAATTTCGGTTCCAATCAATCCAGTATTTTGGTCATCCATATTTTTAGTCGTTCACTAAAATGACTACAATAAAAAGTAATATGTCACTATTAAAATCATTTTGTTTCAGATTTTAACAATGACCAAGCCTCGTGCCAAGCATGGTGGTGATATAGTATACATTCGACTTTATTACGCTTGGTAGCTTATTTTAATTTATAAATTTAAATATTTTCAAGATAAGTTATGAATTAGTATGCTTTGTATGATTTTAATCAATATTATTGTGTCCTATATTGCATTTTTAGTTCATAAATAACAATTAGTTAGAACAAAACATCCATAAAATAAGACTAACGACATTGTTGGTAAATATTTGTTGAGGTCGTGAATATGTTTCATGAGAGCCAAATTCACAAGTATTCTCTAGTAGTGAATATTGGATTAACCTAACCTTAACATGTCAATTCATTGATCGGCATCATTAAGTTAATTTTGAAAATGGTTGTAGCTATATATCCTTCGGCATGATATATATATATATATATATATATATATATATATATATATATATATATATATATATATATATATATATATATATATATATATATATATATATATATATATATATATATAAACACACTAGGCGAATGCCCGCGCGTTGCACAGAAATAGCTATATAGTTGAAATCTTTACAAATATATGATTTTTTGAATATAACAATAACGTTGTTGTTAAATTTGATACAATAATTTGTAATATACTAAATTGATATAATATATTGATTAGTTTGAATTATATGATAATATATACATTTATTATAATTTCATAATCTCAATCGTTTGAATGACTTCTACCCGCGAGTTACACATAAATAAAATTAAATATAATATATGATTTGATGTTATTTATAGTTGTTTTTATTGTTAATTAATTTTTTAAAATTTATTTGCTTAATGTTTTAATTTATATCATTATAATTATTTAAAACATCAAACATTGTTTTTTTATTTTAAAGCTAACAATATAATCATTTATATAGAGTTGTTTTTAATTATTGTTATTGTAAGTTATTTTAAACTACTTATTTGGAAACTTTTAACGATTATAAAAATATATTTAAAAAATATTTTAGTTAAATTGAAATTACAATTTAGTTTTTGCTTTTATCACTACAATTTATCACTTTTAACTATTTACAAAATATTCTTTAGTTTTTTTAAATGAAACTGAAATTTATATTTGAGTTGACATTGTAATGCGCAGAAACACCTATATAGTTGAAGTTTTTACAAATATATATATATATATATATATATATATATATATATATATATTAAAATATAACACTAATGTTGTTGTTAAATTTGATATAATAATTCGTATATTAATTTGATATAATATATGGACTATTTTGAATTATATGATAATATATAAATCTATTATAACGTCATAATGTCAATCGTTTGAATGATTTCTACTCGCGAGTTACATATCAATAAAATTAAATATTATATATGGTTTAATGTTATTTATAGTTGTTATTTTTAACTAATTTTTTAAAATATATTTGCTTAATGTTTTATTTTCTATCATTATAATTATATTAAACATCAAACATTATTTTTTGATTTTAAAGGTAACAATATAATCATTTATATATAGTTATTTTTAACTATTGTTATTATAAGTTACCTATTTAAAATTTTTTAACGATTATATAAATATATTTAGGAATTATTTTAGTTAAACTGATATTACAATTTAGTTTTTTGCATTATACTATAATTTATCACTTTTAACTATTTACAAAATATTGTTTGGTTTTTTTAGTGGAACTGAAATTTATATTTAAGTTGACACTGTAATGTTATATTTAAATTAACAATTTAAGTATTTTGTCCAAACTGTTCAAAAATTGTAGTTTTAAACTGATAAAGGTTTACATGAAACAACATTTTAAATCTAATAAATTAAGTATAATATGTTAAAATTTAAAGGCATAACTTTATAAATAGAAGTAAAGATATTATTTTAAAATTAAAATTTAGTCTATTTATGATTACACTTTAGATTTGATATTTATTTAACATTATTAATTAACTTACAATCATTATTAGAAAGACACTACAATTTATCACTTTTAATCATTTATAAAATAATCTTTGGGTTGTTTAAGTTAAATAAAATTTATATTTAAGTTGAGCCTATAATGTTATATTTTAATTAACAATTTAAGTATTTTATACAAATTGTTCAAAAATTATACCTTTAAAATGATAATGGTTTACATCCAACAATATATTAAAACTAATAAATTAAGTATAATATGTTAAAAGTTAAAAAAACATAATTTTATAAGTAGAATTAAATATATTATTTTAATATTGAAATTTAGTTTATATATGAATACACTTTAGATTTAATATTTATTTAACCTAACTACCAAATTATAATTATTATTATAAAGAAATTGAAAAGTCATGGGAGTTTCAAATGAATGTGGTGAAAGGAAAAAAGAATGGGGGTTTCAAATGCATAAGATTCAAGAAAAAATGTTAGTTTTATAAATATGTATGATATATATATATATATATATATATATATATATATATATATATATATATATAGGTTTTTTAATAGGGAAACTCCATTAAAGTCCATATGATGTAACGTCCCAAAATTCAAAATGAAAAATTTTGTTTTTATATTAAATAAAACATCAACCAATCGTGTTTATCAAATCCAAAAGGGAATTCATAATGTGTTCATAATCATCCAAAACACAACATATACAACAGGAGTCACAAAGACTACAAGCACACAACATATCCTAATGTCCTACAGTCTAGTAAGCAAACTCACATTAGTCTGATGTCAATCAAATAGATGATCGGGCTGCTGAATTGGAGAATCCCCTCACTAACCAATAAAATAAACCCCCAATTAATAATTGGGTCATAAACCATAACCAGCAATCTAGTTCATTAGTCTAACACCCAGGGTAAAAGACCATTTTACCCTTTCCTTACTTGGCTCAATAACCGAGGCCCAAACTCAATAGCATTAAAAGCCCAGTAGTGGCCCAATTCTTAAAGGATGCCTAAAGCCCATATGGGCCCAGATCTAAGAAGGCCCAAAGCCTAACAATGACCCAAATTCAGAAAGGTTGGTGGCCCTACAAAGCCTAAAACCCTAATAGTCTAAATATGGCCCAAACCACATAACCTCATTGGTCGAGTACGCTAAACGTACCCCTAGTACACCCGACGTACTAGGGTGCTACACGGAGATAGGGATCCAGACGCGTATGCATAGCATATGCTTGTGTATGCACGAGGTACACACCCATTTTGTTTTTGTCATTAAGCACTTAATGCTTAAAACCAAATGTTCTATCACATAACCAGACCTTGTGGAATGTCTTATCACATAAAGTTATTAACTTGGAGCCTTTACATGGCTCAAATGAACTCAAACCCTAGATTTAGCATCCTACTTTCACCAAATGGACATAAACATATACATGGTTGAACCTCAACCAACAAGATGCTAACTTCATGGACCAGGGGCCTCAAAAACATCAAGGGAAGCAACTCATAACTTTTGGAGTGGAAGAATCCTACTATATCTCATTCATGGGGCTAAAAAGTGAACAAACTCCATAATAAATAGATCTAATCACAATGAGCAAGTTCCAAGATTTATACCTCAATGAAGCTGAAAATCATGAGTGGAATCTGGATCTACAAGCTCTACCTTGATCAAAGCTCCTTTTTCAAGACTCTTCTTCCTCACGGTTTATCAACACACACTAAAACACACACACAAAGAGGTCAAATCTTCTCTAGAGAGGTTATGGTTTCAAAGTGAGGCTAAAAGGGTAATGGAGGTTGGGGAAATAAGAGGATGATGGGTCATAATGTTGTTTAAATAGGGTCCAACCCCTAAAATTTAGGGCTTTTCCCTAGATAACGTACACCCAACATACTAGGAGTACGCCTAGTGTACGCACGCTCTCCTAAAAGTTACACTTTACACATTTGGGACCAAATTTGCAAATTATTTACATGTTAAGGGTAAAAAATGAACAGTACCTTGAATCGGGTGTTA